CAAAAATCAAAATAAGAAATGGAGACTATGTAGCTCAGGGCCAAATTCCCGCATTCCTTCCCCAGACAACAAAAAACATAAAAAAAAACCTTGGAATCTTTGTGTCGAAAAGAAACCTTTTCCAATTTTACTTCAAGGATACCTACCCTATTACTAAACCTACAAGACCTGTTTCCCATTTTGCCTCACGCATGATTGGGTGAACTGATCAGTGAGAACAGAAGACATCTTCACAGCATCTGTCAGTAGGCTCCCTGCTTTCTCCAGGCCTGTGACCTCTGACCCTCTCAGGCCAAGGCAGCTCACAATCCTTCAATTACGGTCACACAGAGAACCATCCGATCTCAGGGGAAGGAGGGCACTGCTGTCACCGCTGACATCACCTCCCTCTTGCGAGCTCAGGTCCCCCATTTCCTTTTCTCTCCCCTTTGCTCCTCCCTATTAAAACTTCCTTTTCCTCCTACTCATTCTTCTGCCTGTAGCCTCTCGCTCTGGGGAGTTACTCTGCTTCAGCACCTGTTATACAGAGTCCATCTCAATCAGCATTTCAACTTGACATCAGTGTGTAGAAACAGGGCAAGGACAAAGCAACGGTTTCACGACGACGGCCCGTGCCCTTCCCTGCACCCCCAGTGTCACAGGTCCCTGTCCGTGCAGACGCCCCAGGTCACCGTGCTTCTCAGTGTGGATTTACCACGCAGCACTTTCAGCAAGTTGTCCTTAGCAAGAACCCCTTCCCCTCCCTTGGTGTCGGGCAGGAATTCTCTGGTATCATAAACAGGACAAAGGAAAGTAAACTTTCGATATTTTTTGGTGAGGTAAAATTTCCTTCTGCAGAGGGAAGTTAAGCCAGACTATGGCAAGAGCAAAGTGAGCTAGTCGTATTTTATTCTGGAAGCACACCATTGGTGGAAGTGTGGCCTCACAATCTAACCCAAATGGCTACTTTAATGAGGTCACGGTTGCCAGGCAGACTAAATTGCATCATCTGGAAAGCCCTTTGTTGCAAACTTTTATGACAGGTGAAGAACCAAGTATCTGTCGGTCTCAAGTATTCCAAAAATTGTGAAACAAGCACATGTACATTTTACAAAAAACTGGTAGTACAAAAATATGGGGTCTTAAAGAAAAAAGAAAACGGGGTCTTATAAAATGGACTTATTGTAATTATTTCCTCTGACAGAAAATCTACCTCCTTCCACATTAATAGTATACTAACATCCCACCATTTTCCTCAGCACCTAAACTCTCTGGAAGGCCTCATTAAATAGTCTGACTGTAAAGACAGTTTGTTTAGCTACCTCATGATTAAGGCACCCACCTGTGGAAAATGGCCTGACATAGTTTGTGTAACATGCCACGTGGATGAGAATTAAAATCAGAAGAAGCTGTGAACCATGGATAGCACGCCAAGATAGAACTTCCTCAGGAAACAAGGACTGCAGCTTTCCGTACTACAAGGAGTTACAGTGACTCCCTACAAAGCTCGCCCATTTTCAGCAACTTTCAGTGCGAAATCACCACTTTGTCTGTAAAATCCCCGTTTCCTTTAAACCTTACATGGTAAGAAAACTTGTTTGATAACCTGAGATTCAAATGGTCATTGTCAATACAGAGTCCTGTGACAGGTGGCCATTAAATAACTGGACAATCACTGTGCTCTGCTTATCTCTAATTAGCTCTGCCCTGGAGCAGCCACCTGGCCAATCACACAGGACTCTTGCAAGGATCAGGGAATTATTCTTATTTCCAATGAAAACTCTCCTAATGCAGGGACAGCTGACACCTACAGGGAGGCTTAGATAAGGCACTGGGTCCTCTAAGCAGTAGCGGAGAAATGGCCTCTGTGTCACAGCAAACAGCCACCCTGACAGCCTGCAGTTTCACACTGGTGTTTGCATACCTACGGCCTGCTCCTTTAAGCTCCCGTTCAACAAGGGCACTAACCCAAAACGAACAGCTAATCTATCTGCTAAACTAGTTTGGTTTAGCCCACCAAAGCCAGCCCTCTAGCAACAAGATCAACATCCAATCACAGTGACCTTTGGATGGGATGGACATGGGACCCCCGGCACATAAAACAGGACTACAGCATGTTCTGCTTACTCAACTCTGAGCGTCCTCACTGCTCTCCCGGGGTGGCTTTGCACAGCTTCTGGCAATACCAGCAACACCGTTTTGTTTGCACTGGTCTTCTCAGATCCCTTTTCCGAGAGACAAGCCCAGAGGGTGAGACTGGAGACCCGACTTCAGAGCCACCCGAGGTAACACTAATACGCTCCTTTGTGTTCAGGACCTCACTCTGCAAAGTCTGGAGACCTGGAGCACTTTTTTTAATCGTCAGTAGGGGTCTCACGTAAATAACTAAGGTGATAATTGCTTGGGCTGCTGAGTGCAACGCAGGAGTTCGCTGCATGCTTAGGAAGCCCTGCTCCCCAGTCACACCGCCTGCAATGTTAAGCCTTCCCTGGGATTCTCACGGTCCTTATCAACATGTGTTATGAGGACGGCAATGAGGGGAAGTACTGGAAACTCAGGAATTCACTGAGTAGGAAAAGGCAGACGCACCCCGACCGCACCCCGCCCCGGCTCCCGTCCCCCGTCACCATCGCGCGGCGTCCCGGGGTCCCAGGGTCCTTCCCACGCAGCCCGCGGCTGGCACAGGTCCCCGAAGGCGGACTAGGGAGCCGAGGGACTCTCCCCAAAGAACTCAGGACGGGGAAGCCATGACACCGGAAGTGCCCGCCCACCCCGCCTCACCTGATTGGACAGTTCGTGCAGCCGGGCTCTTGATCGCTGATTGGCTCCTGCTCCATGGCCCTCCCTCTGTAGAGCAAGAGGAGGAAATAAACTCCTGCCTGCGTGGGTAGAGCTCAAATGATAGACGGTCACCCGGGAGCTTCTAGACGAGACTCTTTCCCGCAGCGTCGACCTCACTCTCCAAACAATAATTGCATTTAAGCAGTTTACTCCTGCAAACCAATCTTCATCCTGTAAAGTTATTGTGCGTGTACATTGTTCGGGGGTGTCCACCCCAAGTGTTTAGTACAGTTAGACCAATGAGAATAGGAGTGAGTTTTTTGTTCCCAGCATAAGGGGACCTTTCTACTAAGATGTCCTACAGTAGGGCTTCCACATAGATAATCATCCCATATCTGGGGTCCTATTAGAGCCTTTAAAGAGGCTCCAGTGGCATTGTTAGAAAAAATTCTATCATACCTGGGATCGTTAAGAGTATAATTTAGAGCCACTCAGCTACCTTGCAATGGTGGGCTAAGCTAGAAACCACTGAGCTCTTTCTTAACTCATCCATACAGTCATGCAGGTTATTGCAATCATCTCCTTGGCGTGGGGACGCCCACCAAATCCAGAGGTACTGGACAGAGGGAGCAGGCCACACACCTGGCAAGATGTTTGTTGTCATGACTGCATGTGCTTGTGCCCATCGAAGAAAGCCATCGCATTCTCCCTTAACAAAAATCTTAACGATGGACATGAATAAGTGCCAGAGAGAACGGAAATGGAGCCCTCATACCTTGCTGTTGGGAATGTCAACTTGTACGGCCACATGGAGAACGCTGTGGCAGACCAGTCACCACGTGGCCCAGCAATTCTACTTCTAGGTTTATATCCAAATTGAAGACATAATTTCCAAACATAAAAAAAAACCTCTATTTCAATTTTCACAGCAGTGTTTTCCATATCAAATCAGAACCAAAGTAGAAAAGAAAAACAAAGAAATCTCCATCAATTGCTGAGTCAGTACATAAAATGTGGTATGTTGATTGAAAATACTATGTCACGTAGAAGGACTAAAGTGCTGCTGAGTGTCACAGCACATGCCTAAAGTTGCAGGCACTTGGGAGGCTGAGGCAAGCGCCTGAGCTAAGATGAGACTCTATTTCAAAATAAAGTTAAACATGCACCAGTTTTGGTGCTGCATGCTTGTAATTGCAGGCCAAGTCAAGCAGATTACAAGTTTAAGTCCCACCCAGGCAATTCAGCAAGAATCTGTCTCAAAATAGAAAACGGAAAAAGCCCGGGATGCAGCTCATCGGTACAGTAACTCTGGCTTCAAGCCCCCTAATCCAAAAGGAATGTGGTGCTGATGTGTGCTGCGACATGGCTGGATCTTGAAAACATTCTGCTCTTAAGGAAGCCAGGCTCAAAAGACCTCATCTCATATGATTCCATTGCTATGAAATGCTCAGTAAGCAAGTCCATACGGACAGAAAGGAAAGTGGTCGGGCGGGGTCTGACTACTAGCACCGACCCTTCATCCCGCTGGCACAGACTCTCTAGCTTCCACCACTGACCTTTGGGCCTTCGCAGCGCAGATCCGTGAAACAGGCCTGCGTGAGATATTGTTACGGGCTCTGCCCCTCCAGTTGGACTCATGGGAGGCACTGCTATGAGCTCTAGGCCTTCAGCTGGACTCATGCAGGACATCACCATGGGACCCAGGCCCTCAGCTGCGTGGACAGATTTCCTGCACTCTCTTGCATATCATTCTTTGGGTGACTGTTATAAGTAATCTTATAAACCATGTGTCCTGTATCATATGGTTCACCTTGCAGAATATCCCCCAAACCATGACAGGCGGTTCTGGGCTCATGAACTGACGTTGTCCTCATGTAATGACTTGTGCGCCCAGTAGGAGAGCCTGTGCTGAGTTCCACTTTGCTTCTCCTAACTATGGCCCCTCCAGCTGCGCTCAGGAGTGTTAGCATCTAGTTTTAGCTGCACTTGTGCTTTCATAACCAAGTGAATTCTCTGTTTACTTAACTATAGAAACAACCATGGAAATACAAGTGTTAGGGAAACACTACGATCAGATTATTCATGGCAAAAAGAGTTACTGGAAGTCAAGCAGACAGTCCTCATTTAATGACTGATTTACAGTCCTGTGACTGAGTCGTTAGCTGAATTGGTTGTGTAAGTGAGGAACTGTACGTAGTATGTGCACTTCCTATTCACAACAAAGTAATGGTCAAAGAAACTCCAACTTGATGACTTTGCTTTATTTGCATAATTTTGACATCCTGTAGTATAAGGTAAAACAACATAAAGCTGCAGTTCTGTACTGTACAGTACAATCAGCAAAAATGACAGTACTGTATAAACAGGGTGCACTGAACAGAAAGACACTGGAGCTCTATAAACACAGCGTACAGAACTTTATTGAAAATAAGGCAACTGTAAGTCATGACCTTCACTACCACTGCTTGAGCCGTTTCCATGTACCAGGACCAGGAAGGGTCTGGATGGACCTGAAAAGAGCTAAGAAAGAAACATGAGAAGGGCAGGGCAGGGTAGGGCAGGGCAGGGCAAAAGAAGGCAGGGGAGAGGAGGGGAGGGAAGGGTAAAAAAACTAGGAAGACTGATAGAAATAAAATTGAGCGGCTGGGGATAGAGCCAGCAGCACGTCACCTACCTGGTAAGCATGAGGTCATGAGTTTGATTCTTGGTAACAATAACAACAAAAATTGGTCCCAGGAGACAAAAGAAAAAAGGAAAAATACACCACTAGAGTAAGAGATTTCACCACCTGTCTTTTATTTTGCTTTTATTGTTTTTGTTCTTTTTTTTGTTTTGAGGCATAGTCTTGGTATGCAGGTCAGACTGATACTGAATACATTGTGTCATCCAGGCTGGCCTTGAAATCAAGGTAAACCTCCTTAATGAGCCTCCCAAATGCTAGGGTTACAGGCATGTGCCACCACACCTGGCTCCTCTTTTAACCTGGTAGAAAGAAGAAAAATTTAAGTCACTCCACAATAACAACATGACATTTTGTAGTGGTATCAAGTGCACATGGAAGAATATTTTCTTTTTTTTACTTGTGTGTACTTTGTTTTTTTTCCCCTTTGTTTTTTTTTTTTTATAATTTTTTTTTTTTTTTTTTTTTTTTTTTTTGGTTTTTCTCCGGTACTGGGAATTGAACTCACAACCTTGAGCTTGCCAGGCAGGCGCTGTGCCGCTGAGCTAAATCCCCAGCCCCACTTGTGTGTACTTTGATTAACTTCACCCTCTTTTACTCCCTCACTCTTCCCCATCACCTTCTTCTTCTCTAATTTTATACTTTGAATATTTTCAAAGACAGATGCAGACTCTACCACAAAACAAATCCGAATGAAATTAAGAGGATTCAAATTGTACAAAGTATTTTCCAAGGCAACAAGGGAATAAGTTTAAAAACTGACAAGGAAACATCAATAACAATTGTACAGACTTTAAAAGGACCCAAGAATGAAAGAAGATTAGAACAACTTAAGCAAAATTGGTTCAATAACTTTGATAAAATGCACACATTAGCTGGGCGTGGTGGCGCATGCCTGTAATCCCAGCACTTGGGAGGCTGAGGCAGGAGGATCATTGTGAGTTTTGAGACCAGCCTGGGCTACAAAGCAAGCTCAAGGCAGCCTGAACTGCAGACCGAGACTCTATAGTCTTAAAAAAAAAAAAAAAAAAAAAAAAAAAGAACCACACACATTTCCTGAAACAAAAATCCAAAGTTCACAGAAGAAAGTGATATGCAAATAAGCAATGTACCCAATAATAAATGAGGTAAACCTCCCCACTAATGCTCGATCCTTTCACTACTGAATTTTACTGAACATTTAAGTAACGAATAATTCCAGTTATTTGGCACAGCATGCTATTTAGGTGACTGTTCTAGACTGTTTAGAAGGAAATATTTTCCACCTCGTTCTTCCAGGCTAATATGGCTCAGTTTTGTTTTTTTTTTTTAAAGACCAATATCTGGTTGTGGTGGCACAAGTAATTAATCTCAGCACTTGGGAGCACTTGGGAGCCTGAGGAAGGACATTGCTGTGAGTTTGAGAATACCCTGAGCTCCACTGTGAGCTCAAATCCAGAATAAACCACACAAAATGATCCTGATTTTTAAGAGACAAGAAGTTCCCAGAAGATTAAACTACAGATAAACAGTCCTTGGGAAAATACATGAAAGAAATTCTTGAAATTTGAACAACTTTTTCAGCAATGTGAAAAACAAAACAGTACATGATCAAGTGGGAATTATCCTGAGACTATACAGGGGGTGAGCATTTGAAAGGCAATCAGTGGAATTCATCATGTTGTGGAGAATCATGGTTATTTTTACCAGTGTTGTGGTTTTTTGTTTTCTTTTGTTTTGTTTTTGTCTTTTTGAGACAGGGTCTCGCTATGCAGTTTAGGCTGGCCTTGAGCTCACTTTGTAGCCCAGGCTGGTCTCAAGTTTGCAGCAATCCTCCTGCCTCAGCCTCCCAAGTGCTAGGATTACAGGCGTGCGCCACCATGCCTGGCTTACCAGTGTGTTTGAGGCCACACAAAAGCTGAGGGTTAAGCTAATAGTAGAGCATGAAATTTCTTCCTTGCAAGCTACACACAAAAACTATGCATACCTCATCCAACATATCTCAACACCACCTCTTTCCTATCCCAGTATACTGTCCCAAAACATACAGATATACATGTTATTCTGATCCTGTTGACCTCAAAATAGTCAATCTCTACATATTTGTTAGTTTTACCCAGAAGGACTGCTTCTAGCAATGCCAAGGGCACAGGACCCTGTCAAATAAAACCCCATGTTGGTCTTCAAACAATACCTGCTATCCTTACTGCAAGTCTCAAACGGGAGCTGACTCTCCCAGCGCCTAAACCGCTTGTCAGCACATGCACCACTGTCTGCAGGGAACTCAGCTCAGCAAGGCGGCTGTCATCGACAAACACAGGAAAGGAGATAAGATAGGAAAAGGAATTTTACAGGTCTTGGTGACATCTGGAGACACCCAAAATTTTACAAGTGACATTTAAAGGACTTTGTCTACTGGGATATAAGGCTGCCAGAAAACTTTAAACACAGATGTCTGTTAAGGCTTCGTCCTACCCACTTTCCATCTCTATAAAAGGGACACACTTGTCTTTGTTCAGGGCAGACAGACTTATGACACGTTCTACCTGAACCCAGGCACTATAAATTCCATGCCATGTTGCCTTTACTCAAGTCTGCTGGTCTTTGCTGCTTACATATGTAACTCACACAACTGATGGAATGTCATCAAGGCCACCGGGACCTGATGCGAGTGTTCTTAGAATGGATGATGCTGAAAGATCCCCTCGTCACATTAAAATCAAATACATGTCAAATTCCCAGCATTTCACTCTGAGTGTGGGATCTTCTCTTGGACTCGCCTGCTGTTTTTGAGGTGTATTGATTGTTCTTTTTCTATATTCAATCACTATTGGTGAATTCTTTTTACCACTGCAGTACCAGCCCTACATGCACTGTGCATTTAAGAGCATTTCAACGAATCTAAAGGAGAAACAGATAATTCTTTTAAGGGATGCAGAAATAGCACTGGGAAATACTGGGCAGGTAACACTCATGATGAAAGTTGAGCAAATACAAAATAAAAGGAAATATTTTTAACCCGATAAAGGGCATCTAGAAACAACCTCCAACGAATATCACACTTAATGGTGAAACGCTGAATTTTTCTCCCTAAGATAAGAAAGCAAGGAACACTGCTCTCACCACTCCTACTCAATGCTGCATTGGAGATTTTGGCCCGTGCAATAAGAAAACCAAACTGGAAAGGAAGAAGTAAAACTCAGCCTATCACCATCCTGATTGTGTAAAAATCCTATAGGATCTGTCAAGAGAGCTTCTAGACAGAATAAATGACTGTAGTTAGTGTATAAGATAGAGGACCTAACATAAAAATCAATTACATTTACTGAAGAGAATTTAAGAGGAGAAATAAGCAGAAAGAAATGCTCTATAGCTGGTGGAAAAGCTCTGGCTTGAACCTGCCCAGCAGGCTAAGGAGGAAAAGTCACAGCCAGAGGTTACTAGTAACAGAGGTTACTAGGCCTTTGAGTTATCGTCTCAGTTTTGCTGAGGAAGAACTGTTTTGCGAAAGCTTTGGCATCTGATGTCGGAAAATTCCACCACAGATAATGTGGTTGTCTGGACACCACTTGGGAAGACTGGGTTTGAACTCGCTTACATAGCCCAGGCTGAACTCAAACTCACAGCAACCCTCCTGCCTCAGCCTCTCAATTGCTGGTATTACAGTCACGTGCCACCACACCTCACAGAATATAAATGTTGGAGACTGATAATTTCAACCTGTGAGGAGGAACGAGCTCGGCAGGCAGAGCTACAGTATGAAGTCCTTACGTGTCCTGGCCTCATCACTGGGAAATCACCAAGCGGATCAGGTGTGGGGTCCATTTCAGCAATCATTTCCGTCCTCATGCCAGGCAACATGCTTATCTTCAACATTGGAGGTGTTTTTGATCCTGCGTGAAGTATGACGCTTCTCTGAAGGAAATGGAATGTTTGCTCTTCTTTCACCTTTAGTCTTTTTCAGAATATCTCTATGATGTAACGCATTTCTCCATCTACACAGTGGCTCTATGGGAGGTATTCATTTTCCTGAATTGGAATGAGTAGATGGAGACAGCACGAAAATGTTGACATTGAAGCCTGTTGCCTCATTCCCAAACACTGACCTGTGAAAGAGCTGGCACTCTCGCTGTTCCATTTGGTCTTGTCCCGGCCTGCGCTCACGATGTTCTCCCACATCAGGGGACCGATTCTTCCACAGGAAACCGACAAACGCAAGCTTCTGAGCACACAGGAGACCCCATTTCAGGAAGGGCACATAAGTCCATTAAGAAAACCAGGGCAGGCAAGCGCAAGGTCGTGAGTTCGGTTCCCGGTACCGGAGAAAAACAAAAAAAAAAAAAAAAAAAGAAAACCAGGGCAGACCTGGCAAGCCAGGTTCAAACTGCTTAAATGCAAGTATCATTTTGTGAGATGAGACTGACACTGGAGAAGAGAGCCTTGTCCACAAGTTCCCGGGTGACAGCCTACCGTCGGAGCGCTACCCTTGCAGGCGGGAGTGTACTTCCTCCTCATGGCGGACGGAGGGAGGGCGGCGGAGCAGGAGCCAATCAGCGACGCAGAGGCGGGCTGCACGAACTGTCCAATCGGGTGAGTCGAGGTGGGCGGGCACTTCCGGTGTCATGGCTCCGTGTGCTGAGCCCGCTGCAGAGGGTCCCACGGCTCGCTAGCCCGCCTTCTGGGACTTCTGTCGGCTGCAGGCTGCGTGGGAAGCACCCTGGGAGACCAGGAAGCCACGCGATGGTGACGGTGGGGGACCCAAGCCGGGGAAGGGCTGGAGTCGGGCTGAGTCTGACAGGAAATGGCCAGAGCCCGCTGTGGGGGCCGGGCCCCGAGGTCCTCCCGCTCCTCGGCGCTGTGGTCCCCTCCCTCCCTCGCTAGGCCGCGTCAGGCTGACGGCCGCGTCCCGGGACCCCGTCCCACGGCTCACTCCCCGCCCGCAGTACCATATGGTGTGGCCGTGTGACAGCAAATTTCTGCCCAGGAGCTGAGAGGCGCTGAGGTTTGGAGGCCGGAGTGGGCTTATTCATGCCGTCAAGCCGGATGGGGGTCTTCCCAAAGAATTCCGGCCCCAGGGGCCGGCGGGGCTTATGGGGTTGCAGGAAGCACAGGTGCAGAAACAGTGCCTTGTCGTTTGGGGATTGGTTCTTGGGCTGTGCCTCATAGTGACCAGCCGTTTTTGAGAAACAGACACTTAATTGACTAACAGAAAATGAAGTTCACCTGCCGTTACTTGGGCATCAGAAAATGAAGTACAAGGTGGATTGCATTGCCAGGGAGGCAACACAACTTTATGTCTGGGGCGGGGGGCATTTTCCGTTATAGCAGCACAGCCTCAGCAGCCTGGGAGAGCAGGGTCTCCGGCGGGACTAGATTCAGTGGGGCTTGGAGCCGGGGCGGCCGGGGTGCTGGGAGCCTGGGGTCGTCGCTCTCAGGAGCAGAGCTGGAGGCTCCGACGTTTGCAGATGTGTGCGCTGCAGGATGTCACACCCACCCGCGCTCCTCAGACCTCCGCCTTTTCCTACTCAGTGAATTCCCGAGTTTCCAATACTTCCCCTCATTGCGATGCAGGATGTCACACCCACCCGCGCTCCTCACACCTCCGCCTTTTCCTACTCAGTGAATTCCTGAGTTTCCCATAGTTCCCCACACTGTCATTGTCATAATGCATGTTGATAAGGGCCGGGAGAATCCCAGGAAAGGCCTGCCATCGCAGGTGATGTGACCCGGGAGCGGTGCTTCCCGAGCACGCCCTGAACTCCTGCGCGGCACACTCAGCAGCCCAAACACTTACCACCTTGTGTGTGTCAGACCCCAACTTACAATGAAGAACAGAGCTCATAGTCTCACCGAGTGGGCTGTCAGACAATTTTGCAGCCACTTGTTAAGCAACTGGTTTTGGGGAAGTGACCTTGTTAAGCTACACAGACACAAGTGTGAAGTTGCCGGCTGTCCGCATGACTCTTTTCTGTGACGCAGAGGCCGTGTCTCCTCTCCTTAGAAGGCCCAGCCCCGTATCTAACCCCTCACCCGCGTGAGTTTCAGCTCTCCCTGTGTTAGGAGAGTTTGCATTGGAGATAAGAATAGCGCAGATTCCTGGAAGCTCCTGAGTGGGCGGCCAGGTGGCTGCTCGACCCAGAGCTAATTGAGAGAACCAGAGTGCAGTAATTGCTTATTTATTAAGTGACAACGGATCACCGGTGACTCTGTATTGAAAACGACCATTTGAAACTCAGGTTCTCAAACCAGTTTTCTTACTGTGTGAGGTGCAAAGGAAACGGATTCTAGACAGACAGTGGTTATTTTGCACTTGAGGTTCCTGGAAAGTGGGGAGCAAGGAGTGGCCTCACCTCCTCGCAGTAGTGAGGGCTGCGTTCTGTTTCCTGAGGGAGTTCAGACTTGGTCTTCTATCTGCAGCTCACCAAAGATTTTTAATTCTCATCAGTGTGACTTACTTCCCAGCTCTGCCTCTGGCCATTTTCCCTACCTCTGTGCCTTATTCATGAGGCAGCAAAACAAACTGTTCTTTACCATCTGATGATTTAAATGAGGCCTTCGGAGAGTTTAGAATGCTGACGAATGTGGTGGGGATATTAATGCATTACCAGTGTGGAAAGAGGTAGTCTTCTCTGTCAAAATATATAGTTAAAATGACTTCACTTTATAAGAATCTCTACCTATATAAAGTCCTAGTTTTGTAAAATGTACCTGTGCTTCTTTCACCATTCTTTGAAAACTTGAGGCAAAAGGCTGTGTGCCTGTCCAGCTGCCTAAAACTTTGTAATAAAGGCTTTGTGGATCACAGAATTTTCTCTGCCTAGCAACCATGACCTCATGAAATGAGCCGATCAGGTTAGATCGTGAGACCACGCTGCACCAATGGTGTGAGGACAGTGTGCATCAGGGATAAAACAGCGCTCTCTCAGCCTTCGTGCTTGCCAGCGCCAGGCTGTGCTCTCTCTGCAGAGGGAAGGTTCACCGTTCTGAAAAACTTTTGAAAGTTTATTTTCTTTTGTCCTGTTTGTGACACCAGAGAATTTGTACCCAGTACCAAGGGAGGAGAAAGGGTCCTTGCTAAGGACAACTTTCTGAAAGTGCTGTGTGTTAAATCGAGCTGAGACGCACATTGACCTGGGGCGTCTGCATGGACGGGGACACGTGATACTGGCAGCTTAGGGAAGGGCAAGGGCTGTCACCCCCGAGATCATTGCTGTCGTCCCTGCACTGCTTCTACACATTGATTTAAGATTGAAAAATTGACTGAGATGGACTCTATAAAACAAGCACTGAAGCAGAGGTAAATCCCCAGAGTGAGGCACGAGTAGGAGTAGAAGGGATTTTTTAGTAGGGAGGAGCAAGGGGAGGAAAAGGGAAATTTGTGAGCAGGGCTTGTGGGAGGGAGGTGAAACCAGCAATGACAACAGTGACCTCCTTCCCCCGAGATCACATGGGTCTCAATGTGACAGTAACTGAAGGACTGTGTGCTGTCTCGGCCTGAGTGGGTCAAAGGTCACAGGCCTAAAGAAGGCAGGGGACCCTAGTACTAGATACTACTAGGTAAGTGTGTCTTCTGTTGCTACTAATCAGTTCACCTAATCATTTGGGGGCAAAATTGATATTAGGAAACTGGTCTGGTATGCTTAATAATAATAGGGTGGGCGTCATCGCTGAGGCAGAATGGAAACAGCTTTCTCTTAGTTACAAGATTTCAACGTGTATTTGATGTTTTTTATTGTTTTGGGACTGAATGCAGGAATTTGGCTCTGAGCTGCATAATCCCCATATTTCTTTTCTAATTTTTGAGACCTGGTCTTGCTCAGTTGCCCAGGCTGGCCAGGATTTTGATAGTGCGTCCACCTCCCTCACTGCTGCGAAGACAGGCAGGTGACATTTCTAGTGCAGGGATGGGGTTCTCTAGTCACGTGGTTCACTGAGATTTGAGCACCTGGGGAGAGTAAACATCAGTGAGGCCCGGTGGGGCACACCTTTAATCCCAGCTGCGGGGGACTGAGACAGGAGCATTGCAGCACCAAGCCCAGCCCGGACAGTTGAGCAAGAGCCTGTGTCACTATGGAGTAAATATTTTGGGGTGTTCCTCCAGGGTAACTTGCGTGACATCCTGAGTTAAATTGTAGTACTGAAGAAAAAGAGAAAACTTACTCACTGAAATCGTTCGGTTTTGTAATTTATTTACGCCTCTCACTAGTGGTACATGGTATAACACCTGCTCATGATGGGACGGCAGTCATGAGTCAGTGCCCTGTCAGCAGCTGCACACCCGGGTGCAGAGCCAGTGACTACAGTGCGCTGTACTCCATGATGTTCATGGGCTACTTAGTATTTTATTATGAATTTGTCTACGTGCTACATAAATATCCCAAAGTACAGGGGAAGGAGTATGTGTTGAGCAGGTTTAAAGAAGGCTTGACCATGATTGATTAACCAGGTATGTTCTGTGCATTTTGAATATATTTTATTTTCATCTTTTGGTTGATCACAGTGTTTCCCTTTTGAACTCAAGTGATATCTGTAGACTCATTTCTTGAACTCTGTACAAAGTTTTGTAGATCTTGACATGCGTCGGAGTGTTTCCTGTGTTGGCTGCTGTACTGACCAGCTTCCAGAGCAGCCCGGCCAGAACAGTGTGAGCACTGTTTGGAGAGGGGACACTACTCTGGGGTATTTTGCTTTATAGCTGCGCTTGATTGTTCTGACTTTTTACAACATTCCTGTGCTGAAGAGGTCCCTTGGTCTGGTCAAATTCTCTGGTTTCCATCACCACAGCAAGGGAGTAGAACAAAATTTTTGCTTGAAGACACGGGGCTGAGCAGTTTGACACAAGACACCAAGCACGTGCCAGGCTAAAGAGATAACACTTCCGTTCCTACTTCTGATTTGTGCTGACTCTGGGAACCCTTCTATGTGGTTTAACCTGGGATCAGCCTCACTTCTTCACTGGGGTGCTCAGTGCTACGATCCCGGTTCCTCTTCCATCACTTAAATGATCTGAGGGCAGGTCTGTCCAGCACTCTCACTGCTGAAATGCTTCCCCTTTCTAGTGACTTATAACTCTGAGGAAAGAAATTACTGTGAGCCTTTGTGGTGTGTTTCATAAATGACAAGAGTCAGCAATATCTGAAATTCCAATAAGTGTGTCCTGGGCTCCCCACACTCTGAGGCTGAACTTCCATGTTGGCATCGTGGGGAAGCCCCTGGAAACAGCCTGTGGAGAGAGACACAGTTGGATAAAGCACAGCTTCAGTTCAAGGCCCCCTTAGTCTTCCCCTCTGCAGTGGGCGTCAGCATAGACCATGAGGCCGTGGGGTCTGTTGTGGTTTCTCATGCTAGTGACTTCGGAGAAGTAGTGCAGGAGGTGAGGACAAGGAGAGAGTGTGCAAGGATAGGGAGGGGACTTTGGGTAGTGTTGTTCTGCTTGGGTTTGGTGTGCAGCCTTGTAGTCTTGCTTTGCCCTTTTTGGGTGTCTTGTTATTCAGGAGCTTCTGTGTTC